GAGAGAGAGAAATGGTAGAGAGGAAGAAGAGAAGTCCGAAATTTTCTGAATTGAAATCGATCCTTCTCCTCTAAGAAAAACTGTATTTACCAATTATAGCCGTTAGGTGATTTTTCACTTTCCATATCTAGAATTTAATTTACATTAATCAAATCTCTAATTTCCTTATTTAAATATATAAAGATAAACCATAGATAAAACTTCCATCCGTCAGATCTGTAAAAGCGGTTTGATCACACGGTTTCAAATCCTTTATCCCAAAATCAGAATTTTTCTTTTTTTTTAACCTATTGATTAATTCTGATAATTAACCGCGTAATAAAATGAGAAAATCTCTTAATTAAATTTAAAATAGTAAAACGAATTTTAAGCCGAACGTTTTTTAAAAAAAAGGAAAGAAGCAAAAGATTATGAAACGACGAAATGAAACCCCCGAAGACGACGATGACGACGGCGGAGGAAAAACAAACCATGCGTAAACAGCCGCCGTCTCCGCCTCCACAACCACCGCCAGTTAACAACTCTTTGGTCCAATGGTGGCGGAGATGGACGGTGTTAGTGGCGGCGATATGGATCCAAGCATTCACGGGGACAAACTTCGATTTCTCCGCTTACTCTTCCGACATGAAATCGTCGATGGGGGTTTCTCAGTCCCGCCTAAATTACATGGCGGTTGCTTCTGATTTGGGTAAAGCATTGGGTTGGTCTTCTGGTTTCGCGATTGCTTATTTCCCTGTCTCCGCCGTGCTTTTCGCCGCCGCCGGAATGGGACTCGTCGGTTACGGCGTTCAGTGGTTATCCATCGCCGATGTTATCGACCCTCCTTATGCTCTGGTTTTGGTTTGCTGCTCGTTGGCCGGTTTAAGCATTTGCTGGTTCAATACGGTCTGTTTCATCCTCTGTGTTCGACATTTCGAATCGAACCATTCGCTTGCGTTGTCTCTTGTTGTGAGTTTTAATGGAATCAGTGCTGCTTTGTATACGCTTAGTCATGAAGCTATTAGTGGGAAATCATCAGCAAGTTCTGATATTTACCTTCTTCCTAACTCTCTAATCCCTTCGATCGTCTCTGTTTTAGCACTTTGGCCGGTCCTTACTAACCCTAATTCCTTCGATACATCCCGAACCCATGACGAAACCCGTGTCTTCGTCGTCTTCAATGTCTTAGCCTTAATCACATGCTTTTACCTTCCCTTGCCTTCCTCAAACACCTATTTAGCTTCATCGCCTCGATGGCATTTCCTCGGCGCCATTTTCCTTCTCCTTTTCCCGTTGTTCGTCCCGTTTATCGACTATATTCACCGCGCCATCGAGTCCTGCTTCCACCTTCACAGATCTGGCTATGCAGCGGTTAACGTCGAAGAGCCCAAGATCCTCAAAAATCATGAGAAGATGAACGAAGAGGAGGAATGTGGTACAGTGAGACTAGGAGATGAGCATTCTCTCGGAATGCTGGTTCGTAGGGTTGAGTTTTGGCTATATTACATAGCTTATTTCTGCGGCGGCACGATCGGTCTTGTTTACAGCAACAACTTAGGACAGATCGCTCAGTCTCTAGGACAAAGCAGCTCAAAGGCTAAATCCTTAGTGACACTCTTCTCTGCTTTCTCCTTTTTGGGAAGATTGCTTTCCTCTGCACCTGACTTCACTCGCAAGAAACTGTACTACTTGACAAGAACAGGATGGTTCACCATTTCGTTACTGCCAACACCTTTGGCCTTCTTCATCCTCGCTTATTCATCCGAGACCTACCACACCGCGCTATTACGAGTCGCGACCGCACTTATCGGGTTAAGCTCTGGGTTTGTATTTGCAGCTGCGGTTTCTATAACTTCCGACCTCTTTGGACGCAATAGTGTTGGAGTCAACCAGAACATCCTCATCACAAACATTCCCATCGGTTCGCTCTTCTACGGCTACATGGCTGGCTCGGTCTATGACACCAACGCGAGCCTGGGGAGGGAATCTGTGGTCTCGGACTCGGTTGTTTGCGTTGGAAGTAACTGTTATTTTGTAACGTTTTTGTTTTGGGGTTGTTTGTCTGTTTTGGGATTTGTATGTAGCTTGTTTCTGTTTATTAGAACTAGACTGGTTTATCACCGGTTAGAACAGAACCCAATCTAAAACGGTGTAGTATCAGCTGCCTATAATGGTTTAGATTGATCGGATCCAAGAAAAGAGTGTAAATGCTTGTATCCTCTTTTTGGATCTTCTTGAAGGAACCTAATTGAAAAATTCCTCGTTAAATTAGTTAATTAATCATTGCAATTTAGTAATTTACTGTTACACACTATTTTTTTTATTTAATCTAAAACTATATTAGATCATAATTATTTATAAAATCTAGGGTTTTTTTTGGTGAATAACC